CATCAACCGGATGAAAACATATTTACTGTACTATTCCAAAGGGCTCAATCGCATGTGTCCTGTCATTATGTAGGATGCTCCACTGGTTCTCTTCTTCCGATTCCATTCGATTCCAAATAGGCAGGTAGAATAGGTAGCATCACGATGGACTGTCACAACTCCACCCATTTATCTATGCTTCGTTTAGCTCTATAGACCTAACAGCCACAGTTCACCCTTGGAAAGTGAGTAGGGATCCTGGTGCGCCTCTCATATGTACTTGGACGGTGAAAGAAGGATGCACCCATTAGAAAAACACGATAGTCAGCTTTCCTTTCATGCGACTGTGAATGTTTTCCATGAAACTGATCGCAGATGTCACTGGGGATGTTTTTGCATACTTGTGCTCGCTGCTACTTGCTGCCATGGGCACTACATGCATTCAATTTCCCCATGATCCCAGAAGGGGTCTGTCACATATACTCCTTATCCCTGAGTCGGGTAGGCGTGGCATTTGGACATGGCATAGGATGGGTTACTCGTGGGATATTTCAACTCGAGACAACTGCCATCTTGTTCTATGGTGGACAGAGACATGACCACAATTGTTTCAAAATGAAAATATCTCACCAAAAGCACAGCCACCGCCACGTTTAGTTGAAGTACGCAGCCACGCCTACCGCATCCTAGGGATTTCGAGTGTATTTCATGCAGTGTATGTGATCTACCTAAAATGGATGCCACAGAGATTTCGGAGGAGCGCTCCATGTTCCTCATATGATTACTTTTCAGCAAGTGACGTCTTCTTCGTCAGACCTTTAAAGCCACACTGAACAGGATGACCTAGTTGAAGCTGCCCTTTTTGAAGACAAATTGAGCCACGCAGTGGTTTATGGGACAAGCCAATATACAAGTCAGCATTTATCCCTCCCAGATCAGTTCTGTAACGATGAGCAACTTTGTAGAAAGAAAATGTCAGGTTGGCCTAACGGTTAACCAGTACGGAATTCGACCGCCTGCCCCGCGCACGGTGAGCGATGCCCTTTCAGCGCCTGGTTACCCTATTTGATTCTAGAGTCGATTCGGTGGAAGACATCAATAGACCATCTTGATAACACTTTTCTGGCATTAGTCGAGCGTAGTATATTCATGGCAAAGAGACGTTTGGTGAGTTTTCCCTAATGGGTTATTAGGCTGGACACTGATCAGTTCCTCTGACAATGAGTTGCGCCGCGCAATCAGCCTCTGGGCAGCATCGCGAAGTCTTTTCAATGCAACAGTCCTCGGCTTTCCATTTACATAGCCGACGGCAGTCTTGGGAAAGAGATCCCGAGAGGCTATTCTATGCCGAAGACTACGGCATAGGAGGATTGGTCGATCAACTGAAATCCGCTTTTCGAATCTTGCCACGAGCGGCATGGTTTGCTGCTGGACCGATTTGTTCAAACTCCAAAATCGATAGTTGCCAAAAAAAAATAAAGGGTCTAGTAGTTTTAAGCTGATCCCACAGTGAAAATGCTCCCGAAGATCAAATCCCGGAAGAAACAAGTTCCACGACAATTGAGCTGCTCACATTTTTGGAAACAACGGATAAGCACGGGACTGACTAGACGCTACCCGCTGAGTTGTGCTTTTTCTGGCTGGCTTCCAGACTTATTTCAGAGGCCAAACTAATTCAAATTTGAATGCGTGGCGCATCCTGGTTTTACCCTTTCAATCGCCAGGCATTAAAAACAAGTGAGTATCGAGGCTATCTGTAGTCCTCACCTGGGAGCTATTACAGCTAAATCTTATTCAAAGTTCTTTGCACCTGCTTGGTAATAACCTAATCCACGTAATCATCGACAGGAATGTACTACAGGTTTCCCTGGGTTCCTTCCTAGGAACGAACCATCAATGTATTTTTGGAGCGCTTTTTCATTTCTTTTCCTCCTTTTTTCAGCGACTCAACTCGAGTCACCTTGGGAAAATTGTACCTTCGAGTGCAAACAGAACTATTCTTTTCCCATGAATTATCATTGTACCTACTCGTACTGAGTTGCAAATTGCCTTGTTAGAGCGGTTGTCATGGATACTATAGCACATGGTCATGTGAAACACTTCGCTCAAGACATTCAGGATTAAGCTGAAGTTGTCGCTCTCGTCACTCGGATCGTCAGGGTAACAACAGTGGTTGGTGCCAGCTGTACGACGTTAATACAGCAGGTGAAATTTGTGTAGTGAGAATTAGGGAGGAAATGCGAGAGACGAAGTACCGAAGGTC